CACTCTACACTCCACACTTCACACTCCACACTTAACACTCCACACTCCACACTTCACACTGTAGCTCCACACTCCACACACCCCACACACTTCAGACTTCACACTGCGCACTCCACTTCACACTTCACACTGCACACTCAACACTCCACACCTCACCCTCCATTTCACACTCTGCACCCTCCACTCCAAACTTCACACTTCACACTCTCCACTCCACACTCCACACTTCACACGCTACTCCTCACACTCCACACTTCACACTTCACACGTCAAGCTCTGCACTTCACACTTCACACTTCACACTCCACACTTCACCCTTCACACTCCACACTCCACACTTCACACTTCACACTCCACACTTCACACGTCAAACTCTGCACTTCGCACATCACACTTCACATTTCACACTTCACACTCCACACTTCACACTCCACACTTTACACACTGCGCACTCTCCACTTTACACTTCACACTCTCCACTTCACACTTCAAACTTCACACTCTCCACTCGAGACTTCACACGCCACTCTTCACACTTTACACTTCACACTTCACAGTGCACTTTCACAGCTCATTACACATCACCTTTTCTCACTTTCCCCATAGACAGTGCGACGACGCGATCAGAGAAAAAAATCCAAAACGACGAGCAAACAGTCCACCACCCCCAGACCCTCAACAAAGAAAACAAGAACCCTTCGCTACGCATTCGGGAAAAAAAAAGATATATCTAATGTCTACCATATATATATATATATATGTAAGAATAATGATATATGTGTGTGTGTGCATAATATATATATATATATATACATACATGCATGCATGCATACATACATACATACACACATACACAGATACACAGATACACACATACACACATACATACACACATACATACACACATACATACACACACACACACATACATACGTACGTACGTACATACGTACATACATCCATACATCCATGCATCCATACATCCATACATCCATACATCCATACATCCATACATCCATACATCCATCCATCCATACATACATACATATATATATATATATAGATACATACATACATACATACATACTGTGATTTGTCCACTTGCCATACATGTTCCACCAGTCTCCAGCGACATGTGCAACCTCATTTCGCACACCGTCCATCATGGAGGCTCAGGATCTGAAACTCAGGGGGTTATTCGGCGTGTCCAAAAAGAGCCATTGGTGCGCTTGGGAGCGCGGTTGCGAAGCCAGGGAGCTTTATCAGATCAGGTGGTCAATGGAGATTCAATTGAAGGTCAGGAGGCCTATTCAAGTCAGTGAGTTCAATTCATCTTGCATTGCTGGTTTTGAAGGAATTCAAAGAACTGCTATCAATTGAACATTGGTAGCGGAGCTACGGCTCACCGTTGCCAGTGATCAGCGCACGTGCAGCGGAAGTGAGAAAGATCTGGGATGCCTGACGGCGATGGATCAACCGGCAGTTTGCCGGCGGGAACTCAGAGTTTGCCCTGGCATTTGATCCCTCCCTTCAAACCTGGAGAGACTGATGTGAATGAATACACAAGACGACTGGAATTCCTAGCAAATATCTGGCCGAAGGAGCACCTCGCCCAATTGGCTCCTCGCGCTTGTTTACTTTGTGCAGGAACTGCATTTGCCAAGGTTGTCCGAATTGACCCAGAGAAGCTGAAAACGCAGACAGTGGACCGCATCAAACTGGTAGTGAAGACACTTGGTGGTGTATGGGGTCAGTCGACCTTAGAACGCAAATATGAACGTTTTGAACGAGCCATCTTTGGAACAGTTCAGAAATCAGATGAGACCAATGCAAGCTACCTAGCAAGGCATGAGGTGCAGTACGAGGAGTTAATGAACATGGGAGCGACGCTGGAGGAGATGCGGGCGTACATCCTGATCCGTAACTCAGGCTTGTCAAGTGAGGACAAGAAACGGATCATCGTTGACTCTCAGGGTAACCTGGACTATGCCAAGGTGACAGAATCACTGCAGCTACTGGGCTCACGATTTTTTGGTGAAGTCCAAACCGGAATTGGTTCAAAAGCAGGTGGCCGTACAAAAACGTATGACATCAACTATGTGGAGGAGGGCGAACCGGAGCATGATGAACCGGATGAAACCGCCTTTTTCAGCAGTGAGATCTCTGAGGAATCCGGACTGGAACACTTGCTGCAGGAAGGAGATGAAGACGCTCTTCTGATTCAGCAATTTGAGGACTCACTAATCGAGTCCCTTCAGTCCGACAGTGAGATTGCAACATGCTTGAACACGTACGTTGAAGCCAGAAAGCGGGTGTTGGAAAAAGTGAAGAGTCGTGGTTTTTGGAATCCAAAGGATTCCAAAGGAAAAGGCAAAGGAAAGTTCAAAGGTGGCTTCCGAAACAAGTTCAGAAAGCCACTAGCCCAGAGGATCCTTGAGTCGACCTGCAGAATTTGTAATCAGCCAGGTCACTGGAAAGCTGAGTGCCCCTTGCGCCAAAAGGGCACAGGTGGCAATCCTTCCGGAGGGTCCACAGCATTTGCCGGAGTCGCCATGGCTCATGATGTCCTGACCGCATGTTCACAGCCTACAGATGCAGCCCATGACGATGAGCCGCCTGCCCATGCTGTGTCTTTTGTCGCCGAAGAGTCTTGTCTCATGGTATGTGATAGGATACGTGGGGATAAATGGGGTAACAGTCAGGGTAGTCAGGGTTCATGGAAAAGAGTGCTAACCCATCGCCTGCAAGCAGTTCTCAGGAAGATGAATGATGGCCGAACCTCTGAGAAGACCGCCGTTCCAAACCCCCTGAGATCGAAGCATACAGCATCTGGGAGTAGCCTCTTTCCGAAACTGTCCGAAGAGACGGTCCACTTTGCATCACATGGAACACACGGCATTGTTGACTTAGGTGCCAGCATGTCTGTGATAGGTGAACAACTGTTCCGAGACCTGCGTAGGGAGCTCCCCAAACATGTCAAAAGATCAATGCAGGAAGCCTCGTGTTCCGTGAGTTTTCGCTTTGGCAATGATAGCACAGTGGTTGGTCGCCGTTCGGTCTTTTTCCCTGTTGGCTCCAAATGGATTAAAGTTGTCATCGTTCCCACAAATACGCCTTTCCTGATTGCCAATAGTGTTTTCAGATCACTGGGAGCTGTCATCGATATAGCCAACCAAAGCATCCAATTCAAAGAGCTTGGGAAGACCGTGCCAATCCGGCTTACCGACCGGAAACTCTTTCGCTTGGACCTGTTGGATCTTTTGCAAAACCATGGTGATGGGGGGAGTGAAGAAATCATGTTCAGTTCATGTCATAATCAAGAAGGTAATCAGGTCAAAGGTCAACCGGCAGTCATAAAATTTATAACACCCACTGATAGCCATGAACATGCACCAACACAGGCCGCGGCAGCATTGAGTGAAGATCGTGACGCTTGTCGAATCCGTCAGCAATCCAGGCTCAGTTGCGCCCTGCTTGAATCGAGCACCAAGACCGTCACTGGTGAATCACATGTCGTCCAGTGCCACGGAGATGCAATTCGACGACCTGGCCGATCGACTCCGACGACTGAGTGTGTCAGAGAAGCACTCCGAGGCCGAGATCAACATGGTCATGAACATGACCCTGGAAGAACTCCAACAGGAGAAAATCACATTCGGCAAAGCCCATGTGGGCAAGACGTTTGCCGAGATGGCCCTGGAAACCCGATACCTCACCTGGTTCACCGAGACGTTCCGTCACAGCAGAAGGATCGAACATGTCAAGCTGTTGCGTTTTGTGCAACTCCACCTGGAGCAGATCGAGACGGCACAGCCTGCACCATATCCGACCACGGTGCGGCCGAAGGCCAAAGCCAAGATGCCTCCAACAGCACCGTCGCAGCCCATAGATCTGGAACTGGAAGAGGAAGGAGACTCGTGGGATCCGATCCACGAGGAGGGCGAGATGGTGAACTTACGTCTCCAAGATCGGATGAACCAGATGGAAGTGGTGATGCAGGAAGTCCTTGGACATCTGAGGCGCACAGCTGGAGAGAATCTCAACTGAGCCCCGAAGCCGAGAACGGTCAGACCGCCAGTCCAAGCCTCATAGCCGACCTTTGTGAAGCATGGCACAATATCAACCTCCAAGAAGAGAAAGATCCTGTTGACAATTTTGGGGATAAAGATGTAGGGGATGTCATCTTTCACACCAGGGAAACCAATTGGGTAGCCCAGGAAATGTGGGAGCATTTTGCTCAGAAGGGAATTTTTCCCAACTCACCCATGCTGAAACAGTGCCGTGCTGACCTTTTTGAAGTTTACTGTAGTCACGACAGTCAGTTGACCAAACAGGCACAACACCAGCGGCTATGGGCGGAAAGACACTGCCTCAGTGATGGCGATCTGACCTCACATGAAGGTCGGAAAAGGCTGTATGATAGATTGCTGCGACTGCGACCACGAGACATCTGGTTGTCACCAAAGTGCAAAGCCTGGTGCAAGTGGAATGAGTTCAACCGCAGCCGAAGCCCTGAACTTGCCGCCAAAATCATGCAAACTAGAGAAGATGACATGGTCCATCTCCTTTTGTGTGATGCGTTGTTTCAATTCCAAACTTGCCGTTCACCAGACTGCCATGCACACCTGGAACAGCCATCAGGTTCCCAAATGCTGTACCAGGAAGAGATGTCAGCCATCTTGGAGCAATCGTGCATAGGTAGATGTGATATGTGTCGAGCCGGCAGATTGCAACATCCGGAAACGCAGAAACCTCTGCAGAAAAGAACTCAGGTAGTGACCACTTCACAAATCATGTTCCGTAGGATCGAGACACTGCAGTGCAATCACATGCATGAACATGATACAGTAGCAGGGTCATATAGACATCCACAACATGGTAGGATTCTTGTGTCTCAATTTTCCGAGCTGTATACCAGAGCTTTTGCAGAGAAAGTGATCCGGTGCTTGCAGTGTAGCCGTAATGTTGGAGAACGCAACTGGACTCCAACTGAGTTTGCAATGGTCACCAGACCGGCCGAGTCTGAGGACAGTTCCAACATGCCCTCACTCAAGTGCCGACGTATCGGAGAGAAGCAAGCGCCTTCTGCGGCTTACCAACAGCTTCAGGAACAGCAGAGAGTGGAGAGGATAGTTCAATGTGCCATGAAGACAGCCCCGAAGGTAGGGAAACGGTTCTTTATGGAGGGAGAACTTATCCAAGAAGTCCAAAAGTGTTTCCCCGATATGAAAATAATTGGGGTAGAAACATGCAAGGGTGCGGATCGTTGCAGACCTCCTCCTAAGGAAGTTTCATCCCAAAGAGCCCCTTTCCGAAGAACTATGGGAGTCCACAGACAAACATCACAAGCCTTTTGTGATGAAACCTGGGAAGAATGGCCCTTGCTGAAACGAAAACAATTGATCCGTAACTGCCAACCTGCAAGATTGCTCATCACAATTTTTGCGCAGTCCCTGGAGCCAGTAGACAGAGATGCGAGGAGCGAGCCTGGTAGCTCTTCGAGCACGATCCCAAGAGCCTCTGAAGACTCTTCCAAGAGGATCCGCCTGACTGAGCCGAAACCTAATGAAACTGTTCCACCGGAACAGAAACCCATGCATGTCCAAAGCCCAGATCCTGAGCCCTCAGGCGTGAGAGCAGAACATGGTCCCAAGTTTATGCAATTGAGTACAGAACAGCGACAACAGCTCATCCGAATGCATAACAACTTAGGACATCCTGACTCCACCCTGCTAGGAAATGTTCTGAAAGATCAGAAGTGGCCCCCAGAAGCCATTGAAGGGATCAAAGACATGCACTGCTCAGCCTGCTTCGAACGCCAGAAGCCTCGCCTGGCACGCCCTAGCCATTTGGGAGAACCCAGACAGTTCAATGATTTGGTGGCGATTGACTCCATCAAGTGGACAAATGCCCAGGGACAGTCCTATCTCTTTTACCATATCATTGATACCAGCTCGAACTATCATGTTGCCATCCCGTGTGAACACAGACCAAACTCAGAACAATTAGCCCTACTGTTCACCAAATATTGGATCAACTGGGCCGGACCTCCCAAGATGCTGCTTCACGATAGTGCTGGGGAATTTTGCAGCGAAGAATTTGCCAGGTACCTTCAGGGTTATGATATTCGAAGCAGTACCATACCTGCTGAGGCACATTGGCAGCTTGGCCGTTGCGAAAGACATGGTGCAATTCTCCAAGCGATGCTGGAAAAGTGGCAGGTTCATCACCCTATCAGTTGTTTTTCTGATTTCGAGACGGCCCTGTCCCATAATCTAGCTGCTAAGAACAGCCTTTCCAGACACAGAGGATACAGTCCAGAAATCCTAGTCCTGGGAAGGTCACGACACGTTCCTGCTTGTAACACGAATGAAGAAGTAGGCCCTGCCGATTGGCTAGCTGACAATGCCAGTAATTCGAGCGTACACACCCATGATGCTGAGGTACAATCTTTCATGAAAAACCTGACCATGAGAGAACAAGCACGAATTGCATTTGTCAAAGCCGACCATGACATGAAGCTCCGTAGGTCGCTGTTGCGTCGGAGTCGCCCTGACAGAGGCCAGTTCTTGCCCAATCAGTGGGTCATGTATTGGCGATCCGGAAAAGGAGCACTGCCGGGTTCATGGCATGGGCCTGCCCGAGTGATCATGCCGGAGAGCCAAGGGATTGTTTGGGTGTCCCATCAAAGCAGGTTATACCGATGTGCCCCTGAACACCTGCGGAACTTGTCACAGAGAGAATCCGAAATCCCAGAAGTGAAGGCATCACCAGAGCCACCTCCATTTCCCCAAGCCATGGGCACAGGTGTTTTTCAATATCAAGACCTTACTTCACAGAATATCCATAACTCCCATGATCCTCACAATCATGTCTCAAATCCACCTCAATTACCAGAAATTGTTCCCAATCCATTACCAAATCCCAGCTTACCCTCGAATGTTGACCAACGTCATAACTCACCACCCGGAAATCATGAGGAAGTACAACCTGATGCCGAACCTGATGCTCACAGCCAATCATCCCATCCTGAACCGAACATCCACCATCATGACACCAATCAACATAACCCATCACCACCAACACTCGAGGACTTGCCCAGTACGATCCCACATGGAGGTATCGATGTTGCCCTCCCTGACACAGATGAGGGGGAAGATAGCCTTCTTGCCACGAAAGTGACACAAGACTATTGGGAGATTTGCAAGGGAAAGGTGATCCGCCATCATGTCGTTCCCAGAATCAAGATGTTCAATCCGGTATGCATAGAAGATGTTCCGGTACCCCTGGAGTGGCTAGAATCCAAAAGACACACACGTGTGACGCCCAAGTATGGCCCCTGCTGGGAACATTTTGATGAATGGCGTGGCAACATCCTAGGCCATCAAAGTTTGCCGATCAGCTGGACCGGGCGGACGGAGTTCGACATTCGTTCTGCATTTCACTCACAATGTCCGACTCAACAACAATATATCCACTTATGTGAAGAATCACCAAAAAAAGGGTACGAATTGGACATACTGTTGGAAACACATGAGGTAGAACAATGTGCTCGCCAAGAACCTCTTGAACAGATAGCCTTCCTTGTTTCCAGTGCAAAGAAACAAAGAGCTGAAGTCAAAGAACGAGACCTGACTCCGAGCGATCGATTGCTGTTCCAAGGTGCTAAGGCCAAGGAGATATCCTCTTGGCTGTCCACCGAAACGGTGCGCCGAATAGCTCGGAGCCAAATTCCTGAAGAACAAATCCTCCGATCCCGATGGGTTCTGACGTGGAAGCCGAGAGATGAGAGTGATCCAATGAAAGCCAACCAAGGCGATGAAATGATCAACAGTCACAAACCGAAAGCTCGCTTGGTTATCTTAGGTTTTGAAGATCCCCAAATTGAGAACCTAGCCAGAGATTCCCCAACACTTTTAAAAGATTCTCGAACACTGGTTTTTCAGTATGCAGCTTCGGCGAAGTGGCGCATCCGCAGCTTCGATGTCCAGACAGCCTTCCTGAGGGGCAGCCGCTCTGACGGACGTATCCTTGGCATGGAGCCACCAGTGGAAATGCGCCATCAAATGAAACTTCAACCATGGGAATGTTGTGAACTCTTGAAATCAGCTTATGGTTTGTGCAACGCTCCATTGCTGTGGTACGAAGAGTTGAAGGGTGCCCTGTTGAACCTTGGTTTCCAAATCAGTCCATTGGATCCATGTCTCTTTGTCCTTCCCAAAAAGGGTCAAAAGGGGATTCATGGTCTGGTAGGGATCCATGTCGATGACGGACTTGGAGCAGGTGACCAGGTTTTTGATGAGGCCATACGGAAACTTGAAATGAAATATCCATTTGGTAGCACTCACCATACTGATTTCCAATTCACAGGTATCCATGTTCACCAGAATTGGGATGGTAGTATCGAACTGGACCAAACAAAGTACGTGGAGGACATCCCTCATATTGAAGTTCCAAGAGATCGACGCCAAACACAGGATAGCTTAGTAAGCGAAAATGAACGTCAATCACTTCGTGGCCTGGTGGGCAGCCTCCAATACGCTGCGACAAACACTAGACCCGACATATCCGCAAAACTAAGTCTGTTACAGGCCAAGATCAACAGTGCATGTGTGAAGGACTTGTTGGAAGCCAATAAACTATTGACTGAAGCCAAACACCACAAGGAGACCAAGATCACAATCAAAAGTATTCCACTTGAGGACATTCGCTTTGTTTCATTCTCCGATGCAGCTTTTGCCAATAGAGCCAACGCCCAATCCCAAAAGGGGTGTCTCATTCTTGCGGCATCTAAGAATATAGGAGAATGGAAAGCCAGTGATGTCAGTCCACTCATATGGTATTCTCGAAAGATAGCTCGCGTAGTTGGTAGCACGTTAGCGTCTGAAGCCTATGCATTGAGTGGTTCGGTGGATTTACTGTCTTGGCTGAGAATTCAATGGTCCTGGATATGCCAACCAAGTCATGAATGGAAAAATCCCGAAAAATGTTTGTCAACTAGCCCTGAGGCTTATGCGGTGGTGGACTGCAAAAGTTTGTACGATTTAATACAGAAGACAACTATTCCTCAGTGTCAAGAGTATCGAACAACTTTGGAAGCTTTGATAATCAAAGACCGTATGAAGGAAGGTGTCCGAATTAAGTGGGTACACTCTGCAGCCCAATTGGCAGACAGCTTGACAAAACATATGGACTGTTCAGTGTTGCGTGACTTCCTAGCCAAAGGCAAATGCATCATCCACGATGTGGATGCCGTTCTCCAAGCTCGAGCAGACAAACGCTCCAAGAAGATGTGGATGAATCAAGAAGGACTGGAACAGCAAGAAAAGTGGGGTGATACAACTGTATCCTAATATCGCTTGCAAGCCTCTGTATATAGATTAATAATTAAGAGTTTTATAATTTTTGACGAGTGTGATTTGTCCACTTGCCATACATGTTCCACCAGTCTCCAGCGACATGTGCAACCTCATTTCGCACACCGTCCATCATGGAGGCTCAGGATCTGAAACTCAGGGGGTTATTCGGCGTGTCCAAAAAGAGCCATTGGTGCGCTTGGGAGCGCGGTTGCGAAGCCAGGGAGCTTTATCAGATCAGGTGGTCAAGGAGATTCAATTGAAGGTCAGGAGGCCTATTCAAGTCAGTGAGTTCAATTCATCTTGCATTGCTGGTTTTGAAGGAATTCAAAGAACTGCTATCAATTGAACAACATACATATGCATATATATATATATACATATTTCACACACACATATATATATATATATTTGTACCATGTTGGACCATAGTTCTTGGAATCATAAACTATCTGAGCTACCTGGGGTACCACCGTGAAGGGTTTCCCGTTCGCCGTCGAGGCCTGCGCGAAACTCAGCAGTGAATTTTGCTGGTCCTCAGTGGCAAGGAGCGGCAAATGGGAAACTCATGAAGGGTGTCTTAGGTCATGTGGTATCCCCAAGTCACCATGAATGTTGGAATACTCAGCCGACCATGACTTGGATGATTTGGGAGTACCCCCATTTTAGGAAACTTCCATTTGTCTATCGCTCTTCCTTCGAAATTGAGTAGGGAACCAATGGGAACCATGAGAACCCTCAAGGCGAATATCCGACAGTCGACAAGCCCATTTTCAGGTTCCATGTCAAAATGTTGGGGTGTATACTAGTAAGTATATATGACGGACAAACATGAGGATTTGGCGAACCCAATATCGTATCTAAAGCAAAACCTGACTTGTTGAAGTCATATTTGAAGAGTGTTCTTGTATTCTGGCACCGATTGTCCGAAGGGTAATTAATCTTGCTGCAATTCTACCACGCCAAATTTCACTCCCTTTTTCATGGTTAAACCTGGTGCAACTAATGCCAGATAGATCGGCACGGCACTGGGCTATGTTCCATCTTCAGGCTGCGAATTTTTTTGAGAGAAACATCCCTATATTGCCTGTATTGTTTTGTTTGGGATGGGTGGAGAAAATCAGCAACTACTCGGATGTGCATCCCACCTATGACGTAGGTTATCCAGTATTTTGTAAACCAGTATGCATATGTACTATAGCAATATGGAATATCCCAACTTACATAATTATGGGGTTAAAATGGGTTGTGAATATACAAAAAAGGTTTTGTTCACCTACTGCTTACGAACCAACCAGAATCTCCAAGATCCTCGGTTTGATCCCCAGGACTTCAGTGGGCAGATGCTTCAAACCCCAGGAAGCGCAGGGCGACTCAGGGCACAGAGCTCTGAAATCTGGGAAATGATGGGAAAACAAAGTGTTGAGCTGTTAAATGAAACCATGTGCAACCATGGGGCAGATGGTTTGGCCATCAAAAACAGTGGTGAAAACCTGCAGAACCGGGAACTTATATGAGCGTCAGTGATCAGACATTTGGTATTATCATAGTACTTGCAAAAAGAAAAGGGAACAGTAGAGCCCCTTAACTTAACACTTTAAAAATCCTTCTAGAATAGGGGTATATGATGTTTCTACCTTCGAGATGATTGATTGGCCATTGTCCACTTCATTTTCATTATGGAGGTCATGGGCAGGAACACAAAGGGTGGTATCTGCCAGTTGTAAGGTGGTTTATAAGCCCCATTCAATATTACATATATCAACCCCATAAACCATGAACCCCAGTTAATACCAAACTTGATCGATCTAAGGGGCCCAGTCCTTCATTGCCATTCCATGTTTCCAATTTAATTCATCCTCGAGCTTTCCGAGGTGCAACCTGCTGTGGGTCTGCAGCCTGAGATGGTCTACCATGGTTTTCACCCATTGCCCATTGATGGTCTTATTGCTGATGTTTTTTTTTTCAGGGGATGTCCCACAGATTCCCACATTATCCAAACAAATGTCTGCCAGAACAAGGGCCTAGCTGTTAGTGGGATGATGGGAAGCATGACGCTTCCCCCTCCCCCCAAGGCCTTTGCCACTGTCAGCGTGGATGTGGGCCTGGCACCTAGAGACTGTGCTGGAGGTCCTCCTTTTTTCTCAAAGTAAGAGTGGGGGATGAAAACCAAAATGTAACACTGGAAAAGAGGTCTAGAAGATACTTGCTCAATTGGAGGTGTGTTTCTGGATTCTTGGTTCGATGTGGAGTGTTCACGGGTGCCGAAGGAGATGAAAAGCCTGTCAGATATTTTAGGGCACTCAACCCTCAGAGTTTCACCTGGGTTTAGAGGGCGAAAGCAATAATCAGGCCAAAAACCCAAGGCCCACCCCAAGCGCTGCAGTTTTTGACACTGGACCCACCCTGAGACAGTGTTGCTCCAACCCATCATAGGTAAATGATAGCCACAAGGGCGGCAAACGGGTCGTTTCACCACTTTGTACGTGTGGTGTTTAGACCAACCCTGGAAGGGGTTTCCGCTTACCTCCACTTGCGGCGCTAGTAGGTTGCATTCATTTGCATTCCATGTCACTTTTGGTGGACTGCCATCATGTGCTATCATCTCAATCAATATTAAGGGAACATTCAGCATGCGTACTTTCCTGCTTAAAGGTGATCGTCCCAAGGCAAAATGCCCCAATCTAACTAGAGAATGCTAGAAATATATTTACCATTAGCATGCATCAGCCCTAGGTGCCTTGCTTATAAACCAACTTAGCTAAGTAGGCAGCACTACATTGTACCTCAACATTGATCAAAGTTCAGGAAATCAGAGCCAGGTCAGCTCAGATGACCTGCCGCACCAACTCAGGTGATGATCATATGTCCAAGTCGGTCGCCGCCTTGGGCAACAGTTTGCACTCCCAACTGGACCGCTGCAACCCGCAGGAGAGACATGGGCCTCCATGCCTAATGTCACGTTGAATCTTCCAGGCATTACTAGGGACATATATGTTAAGGGAAGTGACTATTTGAGGAGTTAAATGAGGTTTAAGTGGCCCTTAAATAGCTTAGATCCAATACGATCCAATACTAAAGCACCCAGCGTTTCTTAAGGAATTTGATGGATTGTTTTCTTGAAATATGAAGGCAAATCAGAATGACCTCGCACAGACATGTGATCCAATAAGTAATGGCGAATGGCCCATCCCCAAGAAAAAGTCCACTACCCTGCTATTATAACTACAATATTTGTGAGATGATGATCCCCAAGTCAATGGATTGGTTTAAGGAAACATCGTAACCGAAAACCATAGGTATTTTCCCATTATTCATATGGGGCTGGCCTGTAAATTGTTTAAACCAATCCAGCATCATCTAGGATCACGCCAACTTCCTGTGGTCCATGGTGGTGCTAACGGCGGCAGAGAGGTGCCGCCTAGACACCTAGACACCAGGTCCATGGATCCCCATGGGTGCTGCTGATGATTTAGGGGTAGCCCTATTTTCGGAGACCACCATATCAACATCATTAATTAATAGATTAGTAGGACAGGTAAAAAAAATAATTGTGATGCGTCAGAATGTACAACATAGATATATAACTTACACAACCGCGCATTGCATGGTATTTATTGGTATACGCTTTTAACAAACACACGTGTTTGGCTGACAAGAATGGTCGTCCCCAATGACCCATGGCCGCTAGTCAGTGATTCAGTGGGGCTGGTGGTGCATTTCCACAATTTTAAACCAGCAACCCAAACCACTACTTTGAAAAATGATACCAATGCAACATAACCATAAATAACTATAACAAATATTTCAAGAAATCATATTGGATTATATATATGTATGTATATGTATATATATATATACATTATTCATACACACATATATATATATATGTAATATTTATTATATATATTTATTATATATATATATATAGATGTATAAAAAAAAAATATGTGTGTGTGTGCGTGTAGATTACTATTATATAACCTTATCATCAATTGAGTGAGTCCATTTGAACCACTTTTCTTGGTGGGATAAAATCGCTGTCACCAGCTCATCGACGCAGGCAGATGTGCGGCGCCATCGCCCAGTCGGTTGGAGACTTCAGCAGAACCTATTTCCCAGTGGTTGAAGGGAAATTCTGCGGGAAACCATAGGAAACCATTATAAATTAAGAACAAAAATTACCATCTATATATATATATATATTATACCCCATATATATATATATGCGTGTGTGTGATGGTACAACCTTTGGTTTTCTGATGTTCCCCTTAAACCAAGCGATCTCAGCGTTTCGGAATTGGGTGCTTCGAATTTCCAATTTCGCTATGCCATCCATGTTGCTCTTGCCTCATTGAGACGATCATCGGTATGCCTCCCAATGGAATTGCAGCTGTGTCATAACCCCAACTACAGTTCATCCAAATTTCACGGTTGAGAATTAATTATTCCCATATATATTCCCCACGAAAATCGCGATTTTGGGGATCTACAGTGTGCATTTGATGGGCCAATTTTCAGGGACTACACTGAATTAATGACCGCCGTTGCGCCTTTTGTTTTTCAGGCTTGCGACAAGCTCGATGAATTTTCCTCCACCCAGCTGCCATTTGGATGCAGCTGGGTCAATGATGTTGATCCACGACGCCTAGTTATTGGAGTAATAAAGCACCTTATAAGGATGGCTACCTGGATATTCCAGGCATTCAATACCCAAAATCATCAGCATCATTCCACTTGCTCAAGGTCACCTAAGCAGCTTGTCCCTTCCCTTGATGCTTGAACCACTTCCTTGGATGAACTGATTTATGTTAATTGATTTCAATTGATGTTTTGATATGTTTTGCAGTTCCATTTTTTCGACTCCTGTACTTCTTTTGCGTCTTCTGCTGGGACTCATTTGCCGATGAGTTGGTCGCTGTCGCAAGGTCAGCTGTGCTTTGGGCAGTCTCCAAGGCCAGCTTTGACGAGTGGGAACCTCACTGCGAGGGCCGGAGGGGTACAGTACACCTTCTAGAGCCTGGAGCTGCATTCCTTGCATTGGTAAGTGGTTTACCTTTTGGTAAACTAACATAACTTTGGAAAACCACAATTTTTAATGGGTAATTCAACTATAAATGGCCATTTTCAATAGCTATGTTAGTTTACCAGAAGGTAAAATGTTCAAAACCCATCTATGCTGGGAAATATCATGAGATATCCAGAAACAGCTGAGCTACGATGTGGTTACTACCCGCTTGCTGGGATGGCGCACATGCATTTGAAGATGACCTTCCGAACTATTTTTCTATGGATTCTTCCAGCTCCCATACTTTCCTGTGAAACGAAACAGGATGTTCCATGGCCAGGTTTGACTAACAGAGAGCCCCAATCCGCCGTCACTTTTCAGCTGAAGTTTCATATTTGGCGCGCGGTTCAAGGCATAAATCCTGGAAGATATACAATACTCCCCAGAAATGGATCATGGATGCTCATGAGAAAATCTGCCGGAAGCCCTAATTGGTAAAAGCATCTAAACGATCTAAACGCCATGGTTTCCGGCCGGTTTCCCCATGGCTGCAGCGGAGATCCGGATGCACCAAGGCCCACACTGTTCCAGGCATCAGCAGGGCGACTTCGAGACGAGCGCCTTGGCTCTTCCGTTTGAAAAGATTTCATGTGGTTAAAACATGTTAAAACATGTTAAAACATGTTAAAACAATAATCAACCATTCATCTGGGAATGGTTCATACCACCTATTTATGGTGATTTGGGGGCTGGCTTATTATTGGTTTACCCACGTTGTTTATATTATACATGGATATTTATTTATATATATATATAGATAGATGGTAGGAATTGATAAACGCTCGTGAAAACCGGCAAAAAGTGTTGAATATATGGGGTCGATACTAGTTTTTGCAGCTCAATTGAGGGTCTAGATAGGTTGTTGTATGCGCGCTCGTCGGGTTTGATCACTCCAAGATATATAAACCAATAATTATTGTCCAATTGATGGCTTGGAACAACCAAGCAGTTGGTACTATAATCCTTTCCCTTGGTCTTAATTTCTCCCACATGGCATGGATCCTCAAGATTAAAAAGGTTCAGCGCTGAACCAAGGTTTTAAAGGCTAATTACACACAATTACTTCATACTATATAGGAGAATCTAGGGGATGGCATGAGTTTTGATACTTGTCCATATGGCTATGGGTCAAAACAAGATACCGCTAACATTGGACTACTCAGCTCCACTGAACAGAATATGAATGCGGTCCCCTGGGCCCTGCGGAGGACAATGACCAAGTCGCTTGGTGCGAAGCCCTGGCCCGATTGCTTTCGAAAATTATTCGTTGAAGCAGCGATCTTTGCAGAGGATTAAATCAGGAACCAAAAGGTTTCAGAGTTGCAACTTCAAAAATCCAAGAACACCACTTAGATCCACTTAGTGTGTCAGTTGCAGTAAAGTTTTAAGTTTATCCTTTACGTTTTTTTTCGTTGCAGCCTTTTCCAGCTTTATCAACGAGAACCACCTTGGCTCGACCGCAGTCGTTCCCATGGCTCGCTCTCGTGCAGCTCTGGTGATCCTTGCCATCATGGCCTGTGTTGCCATGAACGCAGTGAGCTTCGTGGCACCACCAAAGGCAGAAGTCCCAGTACCTGGGCCATTCACTTGGTGTTGCCAGCCGGTCTGTCACTATACAGCACATATGTATATATATATATGTATAATATGTATAATATGTATAGTATGTATAATATGCATGTGATATATATATATACTGTATATATGTATGCATAACATTACATAGATTGATGTTATATGTATATGCTGTGCATTTTTTAATTTGTATTTAATTTGGATATGCTACTCATATAATCTATGATCCTTGTTCCTCTGGAAAATGGAGGGGGTCTAGGCTCACCGGAAAACGTTTTCTTTCTGGTTTTGGGACCGTCCAGCCAGGTGATTTTATAGAAAACAGCGTTTTTTTTGTGATTTTATAGCCAAGCTCCATGTTTCTGCTATCCTGGTAGGGGGGGTCAAGGCATCTCATTTGATAGAAGCCAACTGGTGGGTGATGGTTTTTGTTTTTCACTTTTACATGTCAAGAAAAGGTGGGGAAGGCCATACCAAAAAAACCTGCCGGTGACCAAATCTCCCAAGATATCTCTATCACAGATTCTTTGCATCAGCCATTTTGGCTGAGGAACCAGCATGAAGCGGTTTGTCGGTTGGTCACAGATTTGAACATGAAGCGGTTTGCCTGCAGACATCAATCAGGGTCCGGTGGCTCAACATGCCAAGGCGCAGATAGGTGCAGCCACCATGTAAAAAAAATTGAAAGCTGCCTTGCTTGGCAGGTTGGCACAGGAGGTCAGCTTAGGATGCGGCAAGAATGTGGAAGAAGATGGCTTGATAAAGACAGGCAGAATGGCTAAGTAGTTCTAACTAGCTCCCTGGAGATCTTGGGGCACAGCAAAGCACAGCCACCACAGGAGCCAATAAAATAGGGGTTGGCACAGGAGGTCAGCTCAGGATGCGGCAAGAATGTGGAAGAAGATGGCTTGGTAAAGGCAGGCAGAATGGCTAAGTAGCTCTAACTAGCTCCCTGGGGCATCTTGGGGCACAGCAAAGCACAGCCACCACAGGAGCCAGGAACCAAAAAATAGTTGAAGGCTGCCTTGCTTGGCAGGTTGGCACAGGAGGTCAGCTCAGGATGCGGCAGGAATGTGGAAGAAGATGGCTTGGCAAAGGCAGGACAGACTGGCTAAGTAGCTCTAACTAGCTCCCTGGAGCATCTTGGGGCACAGCAAAGCACACCAACACAGAAAAAAATGATGCACCTCTAGAAAATGGGGCTCCCTGACCCCCTTCAGGAACCAAAAAATAGTTGAAGGCTGCCTTGCTTGGCAGGTTGGCACAGGAGGTCAGCTCAGGATAATAAAATAGGGCTCCCTCACCCCCTTCAAGAACCAAAAACTAGTTGAAGGTTGCTTTGCTTGGCAGGTTGGCACAGGAGGTCAGCTCAGGATGCGGCAAGAATGTGGAAGAAGATGGCTTGGCAAAGACAGGCAGAATGGCTAAGTAGCTCTGACTAGCTCCATGGAGCATCTTGGGGCACAGCAAAGCACAGCCACCACAGGAGCCAGGAACCAAAAAATAGTTGAAGGCTGCCTTGCTTGGCAGGTTGGCACAGGAGGTCAGCTCAGGATGCGGCGAGAATGTGGAAGAAGATGACGTGGCAAAGACAGGCAGAATGGCTAAGTACCTGGAGCATCTTGGGGCACAGCAAAGCACAGCCACCACAGGAGCCACTGCTGCACCTCTAGAAAATAGGGCTCCCTGACCCCCTTCAAGAACCAAAAGATAGTTGAAGGCTGCCTTGCTTGGCAGGTTGGCACAGGAGGTCAGCTCAGGATGCGGCAGGAATGTGGAAGAAGATGGCTTGGCAAAGGCAGGCAGAATGGCTAAGTAGCTCTAACTAGCTCCCTGGAGCTTGGGGCACAGCAAAGCACAGCCACCACAGGAGACAATGATGCACCTCTGGAAAATGGAGCTCCCTGTGACCCCCTTCAGGAACCAAAAAATAGTTGAAGGCTGCCTTGCTTGGCAGGTTGGCACAGGAGGTCAGCTCAGGATAATAAAATAGGGCTCCCTGACCCCCTTCAAGAACCAAAAACTAGTTGAAGGTTGCTTTGCTTGGCAGGTTGGCACAGGAGGTCAGCTCAGGATGCGGCAAGAATGTGGAAGAAGATGGCTTGGCAAAGACAGGCAGAATGGCTAAGTAGCTCTAACTAGCTCCCTGGAGCATCTTGTGGCACGGCAAAACACAGCCACCACAGGAGCCAATGCTGCACCTCTAGAAAATGGGGCTCCTTGAGCCCCTTCCAGGAACCAAAAAATAGTTGAAGGCTGCCTTGCTTGGCAGGTTGGCACAGGAGGTCAGCTCAGGATGCGGCAGGAATGTGGAAGAAGATGGCTTGGCAAAGGCAGGCAGAATGGCTAAGTAGCTTTAACTAGCTCCCTGGAGCATCTTGGGGCACAGCAAAGCACAGCCACCACAGGAGACAATGATGCACCTCTGGAAAATGGGGCTCCCTGACCCCCTTCAGGAACCAAAAAATAGTTGAAGGCTGCCTTGCTTGGCACACAGCCACAACAGGAGCCAAGGCTGCACCTCTGGAAAATGAGGCTCCCTGACCCCCTTCAGGAACCAAAAAATAGTTGAAGGCTGCCTTGCTTGGCAGGTTGGCACAGGAGGTCAGCTCAGGATGCGGCAAGGATGTGGAGGAAGATGGCTTGGCAAAGGCAGGACAGACTGGCTAAGTAGCTCTCACTAGCTCCCTGGACAAACTTGGGGGCACAGCAAAGCACAGCAACCACAGGAGCCAAGGCTGCACCTCTGGAAAATGAGGCTCCCTGACCCCCTTCAGGAACCAAAAAATAGTTGAAGGCTGCCTTGCTTGGCACACAGCCACAACAGGAGCCAAGGCTGCACCTCTGGAAAATGAGGCTCCCTGACCCCCTTCAGGAACCAAAAAATAGTTGAAGGCTGCCTTGCTTGGCAGGTTGGCACAGGAGGTCAGCTCAGGATGCGGCAAGAATGTGGAGGAAGATGGCTTGGCAAATGCAGGACAGACTGGCTAAGTAGCTCTCACTAGCTCCCTGGAGCATCTTGGGGGCACAGCAAAGCACAGCAACCACAGGAGCCAAGGCTGCACCTCTGGAAAATGAGGCTCCCTGACCCCCTTCAGGAACCAAAAAATAGTTGAAGGCTGCCTTGCTTGGCAGGTTGGCACAGGAGGTCAGCTCAGGATGCGGCAAGAATGTGGAGGAAGATGGCTTGGCAAAGGCAGGACAGACTGGCTAAGTAGCTCTCACTAGTTCCCTGGAGCATCTTGGGGGCACAGCAAAGCACAGCAACCACAGGAGCCAAGGCTGCACCTCTGGAAAATGAGGCTCCCTGACCCCCTTCAGGAACCAAAAAATAGTTGAAGGCTGCCTTGCTTGGCACACAGCCACCACAGGAGCCAAGGCTGCACCTCTGGAAAATGAGGCTCCCTGACCCCCTTCAGGAACCAAAACATAGTTGAAGGCTGCCTTGCTTGGCACACAGCCACAACAGGAGCCAAGGCAGGACAAGGAACTGTTGAAACCTCACCTGGAAAATGGGCTCCCTGGAACCCCCTTGGCAGGTTGGCACAGGAGGTCAGCTCAATGCGGCAAAATGTGGAAGAAGATGGCTTGGCAAAGGCTGGCTAAGTAGCTTGCTTGGAGCATCTTGGGGCACAGCAAAGCACAGCACCACAGGAGCCAACCTCTGGAAAATGGGGCTCCCTGACCCCCTTCAGGAACCAAAAAATAGTTGAAGGCTGCCTTGCTTGGCACACAGCCACCACAGGAGCCAAGGCTGCACCTCTGGAAAATGAGGCTCCCTGACCCCCTTCAGGAACCAAAAAATAGTTGAAGGCTGCCTTGCTTGGCAGGTTGGCACAGGAGGTCAGCTCAGGATGCGGCAAGAATGTGGAGGAAGATGGCTTGGCAAATGCAGGACAGACTGGCTAAGTAGCTCTCACTAGCTCCCTGGAGCATCTTGGGGGCACAGCAAAGCACAGCAACCACAGGAGCCAAGGCTGCACCTCTGGAAAATGAGGCTCCCTGACCCCCTTCAGGAACCAAAAAATAGTTGAAGGCTGCCTTGCTTGGCACACAGCCACAACAGGAGCCAAGGCTGCACCTCTGGAAAATGAGGCTCCCTGACCCCCTTCAGGAACCAAAAAATAGTTGAAGGCTGCCTTGCTTGGCAGGTTGGCACAGGAGGTCATCTCAGGATGCGGCAAGAATGTGGAGGAAGATGGCTTGGCAAAGGCAGGACAGACTGGCTAAGTAGCTCTCACTAGCTCCCTGGAGCATCTTGGGGGCACAGCAAAGCACAGCAACCACAGGAGCCAAGGCTGCACCTCTGGAAAATGAGGCTCCCTGACCCCCTTCAGGAACCAAAAAATAGTTGAAGGCTGCCTTGCTTGGCACACAGCCACCACAGGAGCCAAGGCTGCACCTCTGGAAAATGAGGCTCCCTGAACCCCCTTCAGGAACCAAAAAATAGTTGAAGGCTGCCTTGCTTGGCAGGTTGGCACAGGAGGTCAGCTCAGGATGCGGCAAGAATGTGGAGGAAGATGGCTTGGCAAAGGCAGGACAGACTGGCTAAGTAGCTCTCACTAGCTCCCTGGAGCATCTTGGGGGCACAGCAAAGCACAGCAACCACAGGAGCCAAGGCTGCACCTCTGGAAAATGAGGCTCCCTGACCCCTTTCAGGAACCAAAAAATAGTTGAAGGCTGCCTTGCTTGGCACACAGCCACCACAGGAGCCAAGGCTGCACCTCTGGAAAATGAGGCTCCCTGACCCCCTTCAGGAACCAAAAAATAGTTGAAGGCTGCCTTGCTTGGCAGGTTGGTACAGGAGGTCAGCTCAGGATGCGGCAAGAATGTGGAGGAAGATGGCTTGGCAAAGGCAGGACAGACTGGCTAAGTAGCTCGAACTAGCTCCCTGGAGCATCTTGGGGGCACAGCAAAGCACAGCCACCACAAGAGCCAAGGCTGCACCTCTGGAAAATGGGGCTCCCTGACCCCTTCAGGAACCAAAAAATAATTGAAGGCTGCCTTGCTTGGCACACAGCCACCACAGGAGCCAAGGCTGCACCTCTGGAAAATGATGCTCCCTGACCCCCTTCAGGAACCAAAAAATAGTTGAAGGCTGCCTTGCTTGGCAGGTTGGCACAGGAGGTCAGCTCAGGATGCGGCAAGAATGTGGAGGAAGATGGCTTGGCAAAGGCAGGACAGACTGGCTAAGTAGCTCTCGCTAGCTCCCTGGAGCATCTTGGGGCACAGCAAAGCACAGCCACCACAGGAGCCAAGGCTGCACCTCTGGAAAATGAGGCTCCCTGACCCCCTTCAGGAACCAAAAAATAGTTGAAGGCTGCCTTGCTTGGCAGGTTGGTACAGGAGGTCAGCTCAGGATGCGGCAAGAATGTGGAGGAAGATGGCTTGGCAAAGGCAGGACAGACTGGCTAAGTAGCTCGAAGTAGCTCCCTGGAGCATCTTGGGGCACAGCAAAGCACAGCCACCACAAGAGCCAAGGCTGCACCTCTGGAAAATGGGGCTCCCTGACCCCTTCAGGAACCAAAAAATAATTGAAGGGTGCCTTGCTTGGCAGGTTGGCACAGGAGGTCAGCTCAGCATGCGGCAAGAATGTGGAAGAAGATGGCTGGCACATGGCCACATACAGGCAGCCTTTTTCAATCACGAGGCTTAAGGGGAGTGGCTGAAGAGGCGCACTAGCGTCTAGATTAGATCAGCTAGGCAGCTAGAGCGTCTTCCATGACAGCTGCACGCCTTTTACTTACCGCCAATAGCCGGTCGGTGTGGTGTCTACAGGAGTACTCTAAATCTCTCTTGAGGCTTGACAGCGTATGTAAAGTGTGCTCAATATTCATGCTATGTCCACATAGGATCCAGCCCAAAACAAAAACAGTGGCTAAGTACTGTGGCTCCTTGGAATCTCGGTAGCACTCCCTTTTCTTGACCTCACTGACAAACTGGGGTTCGAAAGTTTTAATTTTGTCGCTTGAAGTTAGGTCCATCAACCATCCATTCCCATCAGCCATCCATTCGTTCTCACGGATTTTGCAAATCATGCCTCACATTTGTTCAGGTCACCTCTCTCTAATCTCTCCATATGTTTTGATGATCTGTGCATTTCGATCATAACTTTAATAAGTGCGTTTTGTTTTTTGAAAACATTCAGCGGATAACTCACCAAAGACTATTTGTCTCAACACATCATAAAGACCAGTGGGGCATGGCAGAAAGATATATGTTAAAACTTTTCAAATTTGGCAATGACGCGCATCCAATGCAACAGATGTTATGCATTCATTTTTTCGAGCGGCTTGGCCCCCCCAAAAATATTTTCTGGTCATATGGAAGGGGGGGTCAAGGCAAGGCATTTTATAGTTTACAGCCTTTCAGCTGCCCATTTCTGGTCCGCCCACTGGTCACAGCGTGTCATTTTATAGCCAGTTACAATTTTCCTATGAGTTTTCAAAACCTATCCACCTACCCCCTCAGTGACCCCAATTCCTGGCTAGAAAATCACCTGCAAGACCCCCCCCCCCGAAAAGGAACCAAGATCTCATATATATATATTATATCATATGATGATTGTATTTATGCAGGACATTTAAGGACCGAGCCATAGGGTGTCCAAAGTGCAAGTTCCCCGACCTTGGAACCTAGGCTGAACTCCAATTCTACCGCTCTTGGCAAGCAGCCAAACAGCTTCAGTTTAACCAACTAGCAAATAGCCCCCGTTCACGTAGAAATAGGGTGGGCTGTGAATGTAAGTTTCCATCCGAAGTACTGAAAGGGCACCAAGACTTTTGACAGAATCATCTTGGCCAACAGCTTTACATCAATATGGATCCACTTCAAACAAATCCAGCCCAATTCCTAGGAGTCTTAGGCATCTCAACTTCCCCCTTCTCCCATCCCCGACTCCAAGGTGTCTGCCTTAGCCCTGGGTGCCGGCCTCGCTCCGGGCGCCGCCCAAGCCCTGGACACCTTCGATGCGCAGCAACTGGAGGTAGGGAGCAGCGTTAGCGTCGCAGCGACTGTGGAGGCCTTGATGCTGGGCATCGTGCTGGGAACGGTGCCCATTACGGTGCCCTGGGCTTCGAGGAAAGGATTTTTTCGGGGAGTTATTTGTTTTTCCCACTGGTAAACCCAGCATGACCGGTGATTTTTTTAAGGGTCGGTGTGGTGTTTTCTCTAAAAAATAAACAACATGGGGTCTCTTCAGAGCCTAAGGTGCTGGGACTCTTTGTTTCCGCCTGGCTGCAATTCAAGAAGGGGCCCACCCTGGGCATTTGAGGCTGGGATGGGAATGAATGGGAGGGCAAGGAGCTTGAGGAAAAGCGCTTGAGCCTGTGAAGTTGAAGAGTGCCAGAGAGAGTGTTTCTTCAACATTTGGGTTGGGGCCATATTGGTGCATTGGAAGAAACATGGGCACCCCATTTTAGCGTATGTTTACCTTATATCTTGTAGAAACACGCGCGCTTGGAAGATCCATGGGGCATTCCCGGGGCGAAACGGCAAGGTGTCAACGCAGCTGAAATTTTCCTGGGTGCTCGGCACGCAGCACGTCAGTGGTGTGTCCTCTCCAGGACATGAGACTCCCAAGCGCGTCACGTGGCGTGGGGAAAAAAATGGGCGCTCCAAAGGTGAGGCATCCAGGATTCCAGTTCAAAGATGTGGTAAACGGATCAGATGATCAGGTCATCCGGTTGATGTTCATTGAAATTTACCTTGTAAGAATCACTCTTCTCTGAAGTGGAAGATCTGTGAGCTTTTGACCAAAACATGTTCATATTTGTTCATGATCGTTCATCATAATTTCAATATCCGCCCCATGATGCCCCGTGGTTCCTGAGGTACACAGCACGTGGCCAATTTGCTTTGGTCATTCGCGGCGGGGTCCTTGGGACAGCAGATCTCAAAATCACTAGGTACCAGATGCTGGGAAACCCTGGATGGGCAGTATGTAATATTTTTGCCATAAACGGGGACATCTAACTAGCCATGCAAAAGAGGTATCTCAGAGACTAGCCAGAAAAAATCTTTGTTTTACTATTTTCCCACTTACAAATCAATTATAATCATCTCAAACAAACATCCACATAGGATGTCTTATCCTCCCGCTAAGACCAGGGCCATAGTGCCATAGTGCCATCTTTCCGGAGGTGGCGCAGCAGCGCCCAGAGATGGTGTTCGGCTCAGATCCCAGCGTGATATCCATGAGTCAATGTCTGAGACACCCAAAACCTATATGAAACGTCATTTACATTCATGTACGAGTACCATGATTTATTAGGATCTGATGTGGGTATCATTTTTTGGGGTGGTTCTATATATCAATCCTCCAGGTTTCCCGTTGTTTCAGAGCTTTGTCGAGGTACACGGGCTCACCAGCAGAGCTATGGAGATGGCAAATGAGTTGGGATCCCCGGAGGGATCCCGGAGGGATCCCCGGAGGACGTAGATTGTAAATGTCCTGTATATTTCATTAAAATGTGATGTAATTATATACATGTAATTAAGGCATATATACATTACATGTTCATTTATATTATTACATTTACACTACATTAGATTCATTAGATCACATCACATTACATGGGTGGACCACCAGCTCGTCTTTAGCCTCAAGCTGAACTCAGCCACCTCCGGCTTGAGGATGATCTTCTTCTCTTTTCCAAAAGTATTTTGGTTGTTACCAGATTACCCTCCGATAATCCAACATGGCTGGCTGGGAAATCCACCAAAAATGTGACAGTTCATGGGACAATCATCTATAATTGATATAAATGGCGGCTTTCCCGCAAGCCATGTGACTGATTACCGGTATGTGTCAAGTAATGTTCCATATTACCCTCTGATAAACTAACATAGCTATTGAACATGGCCATTTATAGTTGATTTATACCCATTAAAAATGGTGATTTTCCATTGCTATGTTAGTTTACCAGAGGGTATTCATATAGTTTTTTTATTATCCCATTCATATCCCGCCTGGGCCCAGGTTTCGTTCACAGGAGCTGACAGGTCTTCTGTGGGCCTTTGCAGGTGGGCTGCCAGGTGGCTGGCAATAGGACATCCCCTAGAAATATGGATGTTTAAATGGGAACAACAACATATTTAAAAGATAGGTTTTGGAATGGCAATTTAAAAGATAGTTTCAATAGGTTCACTGTTCACTCGTGTTTTTGCAATCGTTTCATGGCGTTTCAATACATTACAAGTTGTTCAAAGAACCTTGTTAAAGACTTTCCCAGCACCAGGGAGGAGGAAATCATTGGATGAAGTTGGGGTGCCAAAAATTGAAGTTTCCTAAGTCACAGTGGTAAGCCCTAAATCATCCATTTATAGTTGTTGATATTTTCCATGTAATTTTTACGATCCATAATTATTGGGGTACCCGAATTTATGAAAGCCCCCCATATCTTGATCCTGCATGTATGATGCATGATGTCTGTGATTATTTGTGTCTTGGGGATTCCACCGGACATTCCGCCTCAGGTGCTGGTTGGTCGGAAAGCGCTCTCATTGGCTGCCCTGGCCTGTTTGAGATCGGGATTGATTGTTGTGATCATGGTGGACTTGACCAACTTGACCCATTTTTTGTTTGCCCAATGATATGGTAGATATGTATCAGATACATGTCAACGTACATTCATTGTTACACCTGTATGATTTCCTTCGGAAAGCTCTGGCTTGGGATGGCTTGGGATGGGGCATGGTGTGCAACAACCGGGATACACTGATCCAACCAACCCATAAAGGTGAGCACACGATACTCCAAAAAGGGGTTATTCAGCACCAGCCACCAAGGGATTAACATCAATTAACCGTCTATGGCCGAGGACCATTGGCCAGATCTTCCACATTGAAGGCCTGGGTTGGATCACAGATCTGCCATGCCGTTCTTTGAAGGAAAGCGGAGGGGGCAGAGGCACCCCATGGACATTGCAAAAGCATGATGTCTTTGGGTGAACCTCCTTTACATCCAAAGTATATTTACAACAACCCCCAAAGGCTCGAACGGTAACATCCTATAGTCCTATAGCTTAATAGTGATGAAGCACACATGTTTCTATTTCTTGGGTTCCCATGTTTCATTTGTCTAAAGCCATGGGCTGACTGCGGAAAATCTCCACTTTCATGTTCCCATGAAGTTCCATCATGTTCCGACCATATCCATTCAAAATTACCAGATGATCAACGATCATTCTCCAAGTTCCACCATGTTCCATTGTAAATGTTCTTAAATGAATTTAAATGATATCACTGGCATCAATTTTTCCACCATCTTCCCCCGGCATTTTCCCTTAATCATCCACGCCTTTAAACCGCAGGGTTTGATTCCGTTCCAGGTCTTGGACTTTCGCGCGGATGAGCTCGCCACGGTGGCAGCTGCCTTGGCGAGGTGCCGAGGATGCAGCAAGGATGGAAAAGGGCCCCAGTTCGTTAGCTAAGCTGACTTATATATAACTAGGTCAAGTAGGGATAAGTAGGGCCTAGCAGATATAGCCTGGCTATAGTTATATATATATATATTATATTATAAATGGGTAGGGGAGCCCCTTCCTGATGGAATTTCTGTGGAATCTCATGGATTTTGAGTGGAAAGGAATCGTTCGACTCCTATATGGCAGGGTCTATCTTTTTTTTGGGGGGAGGGTAATGGGATATATAGCAAAATTGATACAAGGTTGTTCAAGGTGATATAATGATGATACAAACGCCAACAATATCGGCTATATATCCAACAGTATGGACTTTTCACAAATTGGTGCCCGCAATCCTTAGCTAGGTCGGTTTGAAACTGGGCCAACGATTGGATTTACGGTAGATATATATATATATATTTAGATAGATAGATAGATAGATAGATAGATATATATATATATATATATTTGTGTGTGTGTATGTGTGTGTGTGTGTGTGTGTAGTGAATTGGTTCAAAAACCAACTTTTAACTGGGGCTCATATACTTACTGGATTGACTTGGGACAAAAGGTTGACAGAAGATGATACAACCTCCAATAAGATCAAAGTAGTTTCCAGGCAATGATAATCATGCAATATGATGTAAATTCATATGCAAGTAAAAATGATCTCGAGGACGTATGGGATTAAGGGACAATTGTTAGTTCTATGGGAATTACATGGATGTGTCTGAAAATGAGGAATTCCTCAACATGGCTATTTTGATAGGGAACATGATGATAAACCATTGAATTTTGAGGACCCTATTTTCAGACAAACCCAACATATCCATATATCCATATGCTAAATGATTTAATACACATGGTTTCAAAACTCTTGAGCGGTGTGGCAGGCTGAACCAGGATTCCAGCGGCCTCTACCGGAGCTGTTTGCAGCATGGAGACCCAGTTGCCTGACCTCGCTGTGAAGACCACCTTCAATGCTCTGTTCCCTGCACCGTTTGCTGCGTGAAGGTTCCGGAAATATGCACCATAAGAGCATATAAGAGCCCCCAACCATGGAAAACTCATGAAAAAACCCATGGAAAACCCATCGCTTCAAAGATCTTGCAGGTGATTTATTGTCTGAATGTAGGACCCAATTTATTGTGAGATCCAATTTTGAAATATACAGGAAATTGGGCATAATTTCACATGTTGTCCACGGAAAGCCATGGTGAGGCGCCTGGGTGCCGTTCCAGCAAGGTGGATTGCGTTGGGATACCCGGAGAGCGCTTGGGCTTGGGGCTACCGGCAGTGTTTCATGGTTAAAACATGTTTAAAAAAACATGGGATTTGGGATTTCACCATCAATTATAGCAACCATAAATGGGATCTATTGGGGTTAAAAGCGGATTTCAGATTTGACATGGATTTAACCATGATTTATCGTGGTTTTATTGGGTTTTAAGTATGATACCGTTTGAGTAGATAGGAACCAGGTCATTAACAAAACAGTGCAACATTTACTAACAATACGAAAATACATATGACCTGGGAAAACTGCGAACATTTGATTGCGTGTTTCAAATATGTGGTGTTATTTTCATTCATACTTTGGATGTTTGGTTGAGATAACTACGACTTTTGTGAAAGCCATCAAGCAGACAATAAGAGGATATAATGATATAATAGGGATAGAAAAGGAATCCAATTAATGGGATATACAGCCAACAATAGTGTTCAAAAAACCGTTGCTGGCTGCTGATTGTAGGGAGTTAAGAATCTACCTGGTTATTGTGGACTATTACTATTACATGGTTATAAACGCGAGACCTATGCAGCAACCAGTATAGTGGGATGGGATAGGGGTAGTGTTTGTTTGGCATCAATGTTTTTCTTTTTTTGTCCTCATCAGGTCTTTCTCATTTGATCAGGACAATTCTACGTGAGATTGTTGGTGTGGAACCCGATAAAATTCAAGCAAGGTTTGGTGACTTCAAAGAAATAGTGGAATTTGCACGTGCACGATATGATAAACGCAGACGTTCACTGTTACAAACTGTCCGGAGATTGCGGATTTAGATACATTCACACAAGATGATTGAAGACACTAATCGAAACCCACACATTGCCACAGAACAAAGAATACCCTCTGGTAAACCAACAAAACTATGGAAAATCACCATGTTTAATGGGTAAATCCACTGTTTCGACTGGGCCATTTTCAATAGCTATGTGGCTGTTTACCAGAGGGTATATCAAGGAAGGATCCAAGTCGAATCCCAGGGAAGCCAGCTTGGGTTTCCCCAAATTCTTTCCTGGCGAGGTTGTCAGCAGATGAAGTGGCACGAGCCTTAGGTTGCTTGGGACATCTTGGGGCCCTGGGATCCCTGGAACAAGGATGGATTGTTCATTGGATTTCTGAAAGGGCCAAAAAGCTACAGGAAACACCGCATAGTTGTTATTAAAGATCCGTGGTTTCCTGATGTTTCCTGTTATTACAAACATTTTTAACCAACCCATTGAATTATCAGTATCGCAGATAGAAGATCAAGGTCCGAAACTCCGATTGACTGGCCATTGATCTTGGCAGAACCCAGTGTGAAAAGCGCTAAAAAAGAGATAACCATGTTGACAGAGCAAGATATCGCAGAACACATTGGAAAACATGTTGTCAACGTTGATAGAATGACAAAGTGTAAACAAACCACAAGAAGGAATTGCAGTCCACAGAATTTATGGATGATAGTCGATATTTATTGGAATAAACGGGCCTTCTCCTTCAGAAGTTGGGTGCTGTTGCATCATGGATCCCAAAAAACTAATGAAACATGAAGCTGAAGATGGGGATTCGCTAAAACATCATCAAATCCAAAAGACCTCATGAAAATTACTGTATATCAATCTATGAATCTGTCAGAATTCTTCCAGCTACTTCCATGCCACAGTTGTTTGCGAAGCCGCACAGGTCGCCACACTGTGGGCCTTGGCCCGTGCAAAGAAACACCTCACGGTCGAGATGTGCGGGGTCCTGGAGAAACTTCACGAACAGAAGGGCAAGATGTGCTGAAGAAACCCAATTGATGTGTGGATTTAGGCAACCCAAGAATGTACCTATCATTATGGGAACGGTTTATAGCACCCATTTATAGTGATTTTGGGGATGCTTTACGGTTGGGTTTCCACATTAATTTTTGTATGAACACAGATTTCTTGAATGTTTCAGTGTTTGTTTCTAGAACATATGTTATACTGGCGGTTGTTTACTCCAAACAGCTTCGATTGCATTCATGCTCCACAGGACACTTTTCCTGTGATTGAAGGCAACATGCCAATCGATGGCGTGTCATGACGTACAGCTAAGCATTGCAATCATTTTATACCTTCTTTGCCATATGTTTTATGTGTAAGTTGTGTATAGTATAACTGGTTTCATGATATGGTTGTTTCCTAAGAAAAATGGGGGATCCCCAGTCGTCAGCTTTGTTCTTTTCAATACTTAGTCATGGTCGAGGCTCCGAGGCTCCAAGGCCTTGGCCGGCTTAGTTTCCGCAAGCTATGGACTATCATGGAACAGCTGGAACATATATGTGCATATTAATTATTATTAATCTAGTTTTGTACATACATATATCTATATATATATATTTATACAGTAAATTATTGCACTATGTTCTAAAATGTTCCAATAGTATAACCTAGTAATCAAACATATACACATGCATAATGACAGTACTGTATATATGCCCGCAGTACTGATCAAATCAAATTGGAGGATCCCCAGATCCGTGGCTTTTCAACTACCCTCCCCAAAAGTGATCCCCCAGAATAGATTGGTTATAAGCCCTTTGTAGTGCTTTTAGAGTTGCCCTCAAGAGAATGATAAATCATTATATTGTTACTATATATGTTCTAATGCCAACTGTTCCTTGAAATTCACCCTACTAGATCTAATAGTAGATGAGGGCATATTATCGTAGGGCGCGGTCGATCAGAATATATTTTTAATAGACCATTGATAAATTCACCATGTTTTTGTTTTGCAAATATATAGATAGTTAATAAACACATATAATTGCATGTATATGTATGTGTGTGTAGTTGTTGTGGGGGTCGCTTGACTGGAGATGCGGTTGAATTGTCATGATTCCGCCATCCTAGGTCAAGCATTGAGACCAACATAATCGAAGCGGCAGCTGCGGCGTGTGTCGCCACGGCAGACCGCTTCACAGCAGGCGCACCTTCATTGTAAAAAGATGGAGGCACCCAGCCGTAAAATGGTGATTGAACCAACAATGTTTTCCATCCTTTGGATTTAGCCAACACATATTAGGTTTGGTTCATTTATAGACTATTTATGTTTTGCCATAGCTACGTTAAATTAACAGAGGGTGGACGGAGATGTTTGTTTCATCCATTGCCGGGATAGATTGCCAGAGGGTAATGCGTACATTGTTTCCTACGCTCCACCGGTATGCGAACATTTGGGACGTTTTTGTTGAAGTCTTATTGTTGCCAACTACTCCATGGAGCACTGGGGATTGACATTGCGATGTGTAAATACAAGGTGGTGCCCCATAGTTAGCTAAGTTGACGCACATAACTTGGTTAAGTTGGGTTTATGGGAAATATATCACTATTGTTTTCATGGGGTTTATAAGCCAACTTATGGAGGAGCACCACCTTGTAGGTCTAAAGACACGTTTTTTCACCAGGCACACAGGACGGGTTCTCCTCAGGGCAAATCTCCAGCGTTCTCGCAGCATTGACCCGGCTGGTTGAGTCCTCAGAGTTCGCGGTCAAGGCGAATGGGATAGCTTGCCCAACTACCCTCTGGTAAAACTAACATAACTATGGAAATGGAGAAACAACATCACCATTTGCTGTAGGTAAATCAGGCAATTTTCAATAGCTATGTTAGTTTACCAGAGGGTAACATGATATGGAAATCAACGAAACCATCCACCACTGATGTGGGAAGTTCCGAACAATTCGTTCGGAGATGGGATTGAAAGGTGGGGATCAAGATTCGGCACCTTGGTTTGAGGGTTGAACATGTTAAAAGATGTTAAGAGCACCAACTCATGAGCTTGATGCTAACTGAGTATTTCATGTTTTCAGCTTGGCTCGGCAGTTTTAGGTTTCCAAAGGGACTCAGTGATCTCAGTGGTAGTGATGGCGGCGCCCAAAATCACATTGACTTACTTCAACATTGAGGCTGCAGCCGAGAAGGTCCGTTTGGCTTTGGTGATGACCGGGACCCCTTTCGAAGACAAGCGTGTCTGATTCGGGGTTGGATTTGCTTTGTTTTAAACTGTTTTAACTGTTCATCCTGATTTGGGAAGACGAACCTGCAGTTGACGCTAAAGAAATGTTTATCCTCCCCAAGACCATGGCGTTGTTTATCTTTTTTACAATTGAATATCCACCATTTGGATCCATTTAGATTTGGGGAATCTGTAGGGACCAAGGAGTAGAAATCCAAGCAGCCCAGGCATCAATTTCGAGGAGTGGGGTGCTTTGAAACCCACCACGCCCTATGGTCAGCTGCCCCTGATGACTGTGACGAATGCAGATGGCTCCACCAAGACCTTCGCACAGAGTGTGGCGATGATGCGATGGGTGGCGCGAAAGTTTGATGCCACCAACACGTCGCTTGCCTTGAACTGGGCCTCCACTATGGCCCAGGTCCTGCTACTTAGAAATCTTAGAAGTTACCCTCTGGTAAACTAACATAACTATGGAAAATCACCATTTTTAATGGGAAAACTCACTATAAATAGCCATTTTCAATAGCTATGTTAGTTTACCAGAGGGTACAAGAGGCAGCTGCTAAATCATGCCACTCCCACCATTAGTATAGAAGGGAGTGAGCCAACAAAAGAGTTTCAGTATCACGGTAAATGGAGCGCATGGTAATAGACTAGCCACCGCAACTTCCCAAGTTGTCATGTGGTTTTGGAACAATCCCCCGACTGGGGTGATACATGGGACTCTGAGTATCTACCCAGGATCCCCATTTTTTCGGGGTGTACAGGATATACTGCACGCATCTGCACGCTCACTAGCCTTTATCCAATGGTGTTGTTTTGTCAAAGATGAAATAAGACAAATATATAGCTTGAAGATGCTTGAAGCATATAATAGATATATATGTATAGGGATAGATTGCTAGATCCGGTAGATCTCCCCTATCCCTGTTGGAGCCTTTAAAGGTGCCCGGTTCCGCGTCCGAGGCTGTACCCTGCCGACCCTGACATCATGCTGGAGATTGAGGAGATCATTGGCCTGTCAGATGATATGGCGAAAGCCTGGCAGCCGGCGTTGTACATGGGCCTCCTGGCCGGTCAGCAACAAACTTCACAAACTTCTCCGCAGTGGGGTTTTTGTTTCATGGGGATATGTTTCATGGGGATTTCATGGGGATTTCATGGGGATATATCACCAACCATTTGAACATGGATAACATGGGCCATTTCACAATTTATTTTATGTTAAGCCGTAAGAATGGAGATGGAAGCACCAAAAACCTGGGATTTAAGGAAGAGAAATGCCCTTTTCCCACTGCTATTTTGGAGATATCGTGGTTTAATGGGGATATAATGGATGTTTAAAGGGGACATACTTGTGGATAATCTTGGATATAGAACCGAATATAATCAACTATACGACTATAAATGTACTAAAATCGCCCTAATTGGTTGGTTAATTGAAGGTTCCCTCCATTCGACTACCAATAGGTAGACAAGGACAATCATGTACCAAACTGGTCGCTTTATTTTCCTAAAAGGACAACTTATTCTATCAAATTCTATCAACAAGAATGGTGGCACAGTGGAATATAGTGGGGATGTCCTGGGAGGAGTATCTGAATGCTGTTCATCTCTTGTTGATTGAATAGCCATTAGTACAATCTCTACATATGTACTTAGGAGCCATGAATCAAAAACATTCTGAGATAATTTGGAAATAGGGTAGCTACGGTAGCACCAACTATTCATATCCATTTATGTGGATGAAATGGGGATAGTATGGCCGCATTTACTAGGCTTTGGGAGCAAAAACCAAGAATTTCAATAGAATGGATTTTGTGTTTTGCTTACATCAGGTGATTTTCTGTTGATTTTCCACCCGGATAATCCACCCGTCAAACGCCGTCCTTGTGAAAAAAGATGAACACAGAGCCCTCTCCAAGGCATGGGTCGCCACACCTCCTATGGGCATCCTGCTGAGTGGTCTAAGAAGGCGGAGTGTGTGAAGAAGCTCAGAGAGGACTTTGTTCAGGACGTACGAAGTGTTGTGGTTCAAAGGGTTCACCTGATTGTTTCTTGAAGTTGTGGATTCAGCCAACAAAAACATGGAGATTTTACGATGCAGTGTCATGCAACCATATTCAACCAAGAACGACTAAGATGTGCACGAAGTTGGCTTATCACTCCAATAACTAGGGTTTGTGTAAATATACTGAACATATATATATATATAATATAATATAATATATATATATAATATCAATATGTCGAACTAGGTAGTGGGGGTGACAAACCAATCTACTAACTAACTCGGGGGCACCACCCTGAACATTTGAGGAGATGGAGGTATGACATAAGCTTCCCCATTGAATCTTCAAGAACTATTATGTTCAGCTATGTTCAGAAACAAATCGGTGTTTCATGGACGTTGGGACGTTCAAAATTGGAAACGCATGAGAGACCAGTGATGAATATACTGTATATATAGCTATAATATTATGCAATGCTGGATGTAGTTTTACAACGCTTTATAGATGTTTGTGAATGAATTTATATATTATGACAATCTGTTTGTGGGTTTGTCCAGAGACAGAGGGTTTGACTGCAATTGATGGCCCCAAACAAGTGGGAAAGAATGAAAGAATAGGTTTTAAACAATGGTTTTTTTTGGCTGACCCTATTTTGCAACAACCCTATTTTTTGGGTGACCAGTTTTTTTGGTTTTAACCAATGATGATCCCAATTGACCCCACTTCGTAAACTTGTTGCACCGGAGGAGTCCCTGCCCAAATTTATGGAGTTCTTCACGAGGAAATTGCAGGCGACTGTTGCGTTCTTTTGTGGAGACAAACCCACCATTGCTGACCTGCAAATCTTGGCTCAACTGCGCTATTTTACCAAGGGCGTGGCTGATCATGTGCCGGCAGATTCCTGGAGGTGAATTGATGATGTTGTTTCATCAATTCCCAATGATACCAGAAACGGGAAATCTACTGGGAATATGCTCTATTCTTAATGCCCAAAACCGCAAGATCCAAGGATTGCTTGTCGCCATTTCCTGTTATCATGGATTGGATGAAGAAGATGTACCAAATCCCGCAGATCAAAGCTTGGTACAAGCTGGGGGATGGAGGCTATTGAGGCGGCTTCACCCAACAAGATCGACTAGTCAAGTCGAAAAACACCCGCAGCCGCGTGGCTGTATGACGAGACGACGAAGTATCTGTGGGGTGCCAAAATTCAACCCCAAATTGTTTTGCTCTCACAGACCCGCCGGAACATCTGTGAAAACCCCGTCGCGGAAAGTCGGTCACTGGGTCGCTTGCGCAAAGTGTCTTCAGCCGTGGTTTCAGGGAGGAAACCTCTTGTTTTGGTCTTTGATGAGGTTCGCTTTGATCTACTGTCACTATATATATTTTTGCATTGACATTATATGACTAACTGATAGTGATAGTGCAATTGCATGCCTTCATATCCCCAATAGATTTTCTTTTGTGAAACTCATTGATGGAAAACGTGACTAGGGAAGCCTGGGAAGGGTAATGTAGTAACTTAACTTTTTGTCATAAATGGGAATATTTCCTTAGACCCAACACCTAAAACTCATCAAAAGAGTCATTGCAGCATATCGAAGTTTCAACTTAATAGTTGTTCCAACCCATGTAAATGATAGCCACACTTGGAAGTGCAGTGCCAGTTTATCAGTGGATATCTGAATCTAATCCATTCTAATCCTAGTTCAGTTTGGGTATGTTGGGGTTATATCATGTTTGTATCCCAACTTATCTAACCCTAGTTTAGTTGGGCTTATATCATGTTATATCCAAACATTTTTGGGGGTCAAAATACCATGGGTATCATGTGATATCCATCAGAGTTTCACACCTCATCGCAACACCAGGTTCCAGTTCCTCGAGACCACCTGGCCACCTGGACATGGATGTTTAGGGCAAAAAAAACGTGGACATCAACGTGGATCCCATGGAAAATCCCATCATAAATCATATACCCTTTGGTAATGACTAACATAGCTATTGAACATGGCAATTTTTAGTGGATTTTCCCATTAAACATGGTGATTTTCAATAGCTATGTTAAATTACCAGAGGGTAGATATGAAGGTTTACGAATCGCTGGAAACATCATCGAAGTAAATGGTGGATATTCCTGCAAGCCACGGTTGATTACAGGAGAGTATAGTATACAACGATGCCTTATTTCAGCTTGGGCGAGTTGTCACTAGTCAGCCTGGAAACATGTAGAAATGATATGAAATAATATAAACAATAACGTGTACAATTAATCACATGTCATCACAACATTTGAGCCCTCAAATGCATCTAAATGCACAATTAAGACAGCATAAATGTTATTATTAAACAATGTTTATGCATAATCACATGCCATTTAACGTACATTAAAGTCCCAAAATTCTGCTCGTTCAGCTAACTCGTCCGCCCAAACCACGGCCCTCGTCTTCGAGGTCCTACAGCTTCTCCAGAAGTTAGCAGCCCAGACTCTCTTTAGTGCTTAGAGGCTTAGAGCTGTTGGAGGAGTCCTTGCAGATACATACATAATCATACATACAATTGCATATATATATATATATGTGGTCTCATGTTCCATGTTCCTACCCCCCCCCCCAATGGTATGGTTCCCCAGGTAGCTCTCCCTTCCCTTCTATTTGCAAGCTATTGGCAGCATTTCTGGGGTCCAGCCTCTGATTGCTAGGAATTTGCAGCATTTGTGACTACCAGCCTCGCATTTACTGACTACATGCTACCTTTTAGACGACCTACGTAGCACACATACTCCCTCAAAGTACCTACGTGCTACCTATAGTCATATATACATGTGCTATGTATCTACTTCCTATTTACTACATAAATGTGTTGTTATAAATGTATTTACATATGCATATACATACATATATATATATACACATATGTATTTATATTTATATACATTTGCATACATATATTTATTTATTTACATATGCATATATATATATATGCACAATTATATGTATATATCTCTACATATATATATTTACCTTTTTTATACAAACATATATATTATATATATACTTATATACATATATATATATATGAAAACAAATATATCTCCATATATTTATTTACATGTGTATAATTTGTGTATATATATATATATACACATATATATATATATATATTTAAGTATGCATGCGTATACATACATATATATATACACAGGCAGTACCATACCCCCGCCACACCACGGGGGGAGGGGGACAGTACTATGGCTGACCCATGACCATGGCCGGGGGTGTTGGAACGCTGGACCATATTTACACCCATATATATATATATATATATACTCACTGTATGTATGTATGTACGTACGTACGTATGCATGTATGTTTGTATGTATGTATGTATGTACGTATGTATGTATGTATGTACGTATGTATGTATGTATGTATGTATGTGATAGTTTCATGTTTAAACACATGTATATATATATATTTCAGTTTCATATATGTATGTAGAGATCGAGATGGTATTTTTCCAACTAGATAGATGCTCATCACATGTTATATATTGACATATTTACGTACATGTTTATAGTTATATGATGTGTTTAACATCTAGCATGGGTGGCTCAGCGAGGCTACATCAAGGGCAACGACTTTCCCCTGCCGCTCTGGTGGAGGTTGGGCTGTCAACCCTTGTTTGTGGATGATCCGAGATACTTCAGGGCAAGTTTGAACCCACCGATGTTTACATTTTACAATATATATATATATGTATACAATTATACAGTATCTATATTTCACACACACATATATATATATATGTATACAGAGTATAATATGTGTATAAAATTCAAGAAAGAAAAATTACTTTACTTCGTGTGATCCCCACCATGACATTTATACATTTTCTTACTGGCAAATCTTCTGGCATTCTATCTGACATATCTTCTGACATTCTATTTGACATTCTATCTGGCATATCTTCTGGCATATAATCTGGCATATCTTCTGGCATATCTTCTGGCATTCTATCTGGCAAATCTTCTGGCATTCTATCTGGCATATCTTCTGGCACTCTATCTGACATATCTTCTGGCATTCTATCTGGCATATCTTCTGGCATATATTCTGACATATCTTCTGGCATTCTATCTGACATATCTTCTGGCATATATTCTGACATATCTTCTGGCATGTCTTCTGGCATATCTTCTGGCATATCTTCTGACATATCTATCTGGCATATCTTCTGGCATATTTTCTGGCATTCTATCTGGCAAATCTTCTGGCATTCTATCTGTCATTCTATCTGGCATATCTTCTGGCATATTATCTGGCATTCTATCTGGCATATCTTCTGGCATATCTTCTGGCATATCTTCTGACATTCTTTCTGACATTCTTTCTAACTTTCTTCTGCACATTCTTTGTCCCATATCTACCTACATGAGGTCCGGCAGGGAACACTTGGCGTGGATACTCGCGGTTGAGGTCCGGCAGGGAACACTGGGCGAGGATGGTCGTGGTTGAGGTCCGGCAGGGAACACTGGGCGAGGATGGTCGTGGTTGAGGTCCGGCAGGGAACATTGGGCGTGGATGGTCGTGGTTGAGGTCCGGCAGGGAACACTGGGCGTGGATGGTCGTGGTTGAGGTCCGGCAGAGAACACTGTGGATCGCGGGGCGCAGTTGAGCAAGGACGACGAGGACGACGAGGACGACGAGGACGACGAGGAGGACGAGGAGGAGGAGGAGAGGAGGACGAGGCAGGAGGAGGCGGAGGAGGAGGAGAAGGAGGAGGAGGAGAAGGAGGAGAAGGAGGAGGAGGAGGAGGCAACTGACATAAAATCTAACAACCCTCACCTGGCAGGTGGGGAACAAAAACACAGATTTGATCATTCACAGCCGATTTGTGAGGATTCTGCCTTCTGGTGATTGATTTCGAAGTATATCTCAATATCCAATGAAATATCATGGAACAGTAATCAGGGTCTCATTAATCTTGAATATACTATTTTGTGATGATCCTGGGATTGTTATTTTTATTCTTGCATACATTGAACAACAAATAAAAGTGTGTCCACTTCTGTCAGGTGCTTGTGTTGCAATGAACTCCGTGTTATTTACAGTTGTAGGCAGCAATAACCCATCAAACAGTTTGGTGTACAACAAACCCTTCGTTGGTGCAATGCCTTTTGCTTCCCAAGCGCAATGCCTTTTGCTGGTGCTGAAGAACCCAATATCATTTAGGTTTGGGCGATTTGCCTTTTTGGAACTTTGATCCATTTGAAATCTTGTTGTCGCCCAGAGGCTCATTTATGGAACCTTTATTAATAAGCCTTCTTACAAAAACAGCCTTTCCCAAGGAAAACCTTCTCAAATTTGGCAATGTTGGAAAATAGTTGGTCATTACATGACCATTTTCATCCATTTTCTATTTCAATCTGGCTGTACAAAATGTGCAACCCTGACTGAAACCATTGAATTGAAGGGTTCTGCAGGTCGTGAAACTCACGAAAAAACCTCGAGACCTGGACCCCCCTTTTTTATGAGATCAGGATCCCTCCTTTCATACCTTGGGGGCACATCCCAGCTCGCAAGCGCTTCATAGATGTGTCAATTTATGTGATATATATATATTTAAATATACATATGGATGTTATACTGTTATATGTGTATGTGTGTATATATATAATATGGCATCACCTAGGGTATATCATATACAGCACACATCTATACACATGACTTGGTCCTTTTTCCACTCTCCGCCAGGTTGTCTCTGCCATGGCAACAGTCAACACCAGGGAGAGGCTGGCTCCCATTCTGGACCTGGTGCGTGCCGCATCCCAGGGGCGTAGCTGGGAAAATGATGGTCGGGTTGTCCAAAACTCTGGATTCTCATAGGGCAAATGATGTGGGGAACATAGGGGGAAATATGGTGATCTAATTTTAGGAAAATGATCTCTTAAGATCCTATCCGGTTGTTAGGAGGGAGCTGTTCGGAACATTTCGGGTATGCTAATGTTCCCTATGAAATGGCCGATTCTAAGACACACGCATTTGTTGGGTGTTTCTCTGCATTTTGGACCCTATAAACTTTTTAACCATGGGATTCCAGATTGAAAGATCACAGCTACTGTAATACAATTCCTGATTTGTGACAATGCTAACCAGATTTGCGACAATGCTCATGTTCGGGGCACACTGCTATATAATGTGTCAAGATCACACCTGGAACAGCAGGTTTCACAATACTTTGTTACCATTTGGAGGTTTGTTTAAAGCATGCGTGCACTCTTGTAAAATTCATTTTGTGTTGTAATGATGTTATCCATTCGCCCTCAATCAAACACGCACAGTGACACAGTGAATCACATCCAATGGAGAATTTCACATCATCAGGTGACAAATTCATTGTATCCATTGATCCCATTTTTTCCAATGTAACTTGGACCATTGATCCCATGGTAAGCCAAGCATTCCATGGCTTGGAAGAAGCGCGCTGAGGTGAGACCTTTGTGCCAGGATGGGACCAAAGATAGCAACGAAAGAAGGTAACTAAACATCCTGAACACTGAATTCATGTTCCCTTGGTGATTATATGTATTATATATGTATTATATATATATATATGTTTTTTTAAATGTGTGTTGGCTTTTGCCAGGTTTGCTTGGGTTATGCGACATGTGTTTTTGCTTGGAACGACCTATGATGATTCGGCCGGCCTTGGGTTCAAAAATTCCTGCCGTGGATTGGTAGGCCTGGTTACTGGCTGAAACATGCCATTTCCAACGGTGAAATGAACGCTAATGTTGGACCCCATCAATTGGTGAGAATGCTGTTGTTGTTTTCCCCCCCGCTATTGTCTATTGTATCCATCCGCTATCGATGTACGCAGACCAAGCTTTTTTGGGTCCATATCTCCAGGATCAGTCCACGATTCTCGATCCTAAAACCCCAGGCATAGTTCGCCAGGAAGAGATTGTCGAGCTCTTACTACAACCCAGGCCTGAAATAGTGGCATGCCGAGCATGGTTTGGTTGGGAAAGTGAGAACTTTGAGGGTTCGAGTTCCAGTTGGATGATACAAATTTAAATGTGAGTCCCGGTCAAAGAAATGTGGATCGATCATGATCTATATCGTGGTATTATATGGTCATTTCTTTTGATTCCCGACTCCCAACTTTCAGGATTTGTCACCGCCACACCCCAGCACGACTTTGCTGAACCCAGCGCCAGGTTGCAAGGTTGGCTCTTGCCGCGGGCCATTTGGCCAGATGCCTAGGATGCCAGAAAATATTGAACAAGTTTCTCAGACCTTTCCAAGTACCTAAATGGGGTAATATACCCATCATGACTTGGGACTTTTATTTGTTATAGTGATTGTTCATGGGTACTTGGAGGGTCTGAGTAGAATCATCAAGGCAGGAAATGAAAACACCGGAGACTTGCACAGCTGTATGTAAACCTGTCCTTGCAAGTTGGTCGGGCAGCCATCAATTCACATGGGTGTGCCTGAAAGTGATGTACACCCACCAAATAGCCCCGTTCAACGGGGAAAGTGAATGAACATGATGAGAAACCAGTAAGTTTAGGGGATTTTATGTTCAGACAAACCCACCATCCCACTGTGTGAAATTCATTTTCCGGTTGCCCATCATTTCAACTCAAGAGTGCGCGGTTTTGTCATGGTCAGTGTGACGCCTGGCGCCGAATTTTGGCGTAGGTGTCACGCCGGCGGTCATGCGCGGTCTATCCTTGGCCTTTTCAGTGATTGCCAGGCTGTGTGCTGTGGAGGCAAGTGAAGAGGAGCCATCGGAGACATGTTCAAAAGCCCTTGGCTTCAATGAATCTTCAGGCCCCAAAGATCGAAGTTTCCAGGACTTGACTTTCTGCGATGAGCATCATGAGAGAACGTGCTGTGAGCGGAATCATACCAAACAGGTTCGGAGTCTTTTTGCCGGTTTCTCACACGAGAGATCCGGCAGATGTGCCCAGATGGCTAGGTTGGCATTTTGCTCAGTGTGTGATGGCGATGTAGGGACTGGCAGTAAGGCCCAGGAGAATCTGGTGATCCTTTGCCCCTCCTTTTGCCGCTTGTGGTTCGAGTCCTGTGCTGAGGACTTCTTCGCCCCAGGCACAGCGGGCGCAGGCTCAGTGGCGCCTTGCGGGCCCAGTGCCCTGGTGTGTAGCCCCTTGAGTGAAATCACCAAGGACCCTGCAATCTTCTGCCAGGGCGCTGGCTTCCAAGTGGCTGAACTTGAGGATGGCGATGAGCCCTGCTATGATGGAGTTCCAGCCAGCAAGATGAGAGGGAAAGCTCCCAGGGCCCCCTGGTCACCACCCAAGCGCAAAGAGCCAACGATTTGGAGTAGAGCCATGGATGCTTGGAGAAGGGGAAGCAGAGGATTCATCAATTTTCTTGAGGATAATGCTCCTGGCTTTGCCATTGCCATTGTCGCTGCCACAGTGGCGTGGAATCTCGTTGCTTGCGGTTGATCCTGCAACTGAAGCTGTTGAAGCCAGCGGAAAACGTCGGAAAAAAACAAGACGTGGCAGCCGTGGTAGTGGAAATGCACTATGGGGATCTATGGGGTGCTGTGCTGTGGTCCTTGGGTGGGATGGTCAGCTTGTTCCAACAAAATCTATGCCATGTCATGCAGCTCAACTATTGCAATCGACTCTCGGTGCTTCCAGGAATGGAAAACATCATAAAACAATATAAAACATCCATTGAACCTCGGATCGGGGTCTCCTTTTTTCTTCTCTTTTCCTGATACTGTGACCTGTGGAAACTTCACCCGCCAGATGGTTCTGGCATGTTGTCCATCTTGTGGCTATCCTTTCTCTCCGTGGCAAAAAAAAGCGCAGTTTGACCAAGGCTGTTCGATCATTGGCAGTGGCTGCTGTGAAGGAAGCATCCCTTCGCGGAGGTGGAGCTGCAGAGGGGATGGAGTTTCGCTCTCAGAATGGGTACAGCACAAGAGATTTCCATGATTCCCCGTAGGCCCAAGCACTTCCTAGGTACTTAACCCCATTTATGTAACCAGAAGCTACGACTGGATCAATAGGGATTAATTAATACAGTATAATTTTAGTATATTTATATATTAGTTGAACCTTCGGCATGGCGATGGAGAGAGTTATATCCATAGTTATATATGTTATTATGAGGTCCATTAAGATCCTTTTTCCATTTTTCCTGCTTTTGCTGAGCCTGACCTGCTACTCTTTCAGAAAGGTCGTATGTAATGCTGTCACTGAAAGATGGCTTGATGGGATCTTTCTTTTTTCAACAGATTTGCCGGACAGTGGACAAACCATAACTGGGTCTTATATATTTGTATATCTATCTATCTATCGATCTATCTAT